CCCCCCCCCCCCCCCCCCCCCCCCCCCCCCCCCCCCCCCCCCCAAAGGTGAGCTACTCGGTACTAGCAGGTGTTGGATGAGATGGTGGTGGAGGAGGAGGAGGAAGAGATGAGGAGGATAAAGCTTGAGGTGTGGGTGGATATATAAGATGAAGTACCGTGGCTGTAAGTGACGGGTACTCCGCAGCTGCGTGCCGGCAGAGGAGCGTACGAGTACCTTTGCTGGGAGATTTCGAGATTGATTTTTGCTGGGGATTGTATTATCTTGGTATTATCTTGGAGACATGTTTCAAGGGCCTTTTTGTGAGCGTGTCGTGTCCGAGGAGGAGAGAATGAGAGAATGTGTTGCTCTCGATTCTCGCTCGACTGGTGCCCCTCGGCTTTGTAGGGCGTGTCTCAAAGGCAAGTACCTGTGCGTACAGCTGCGCGGTGGCCTCTGCGTGTGGCACTGCCTTGTTTCCGCCGCCTTGTACATACGGGCCAAGTACAGGTACGAGCACTCGGGACCGGGCAAGACATTTTCTCGGAAGGCTCGCAGTGCGTATGCGTGTCAGTGTGGGAATTTCCTTCGCGCTGGGCCTCGTTTCTCCACACAGCAGCATGTCTTAGCAAGAGGTCTAATGGCCACAGGTACTGCATACTCGGAGACGCCACGCCGCTGCGCCCTGAGGCCAAAGTATCATATACGACACAGCAACGAGGTCGCGCCCATGTAGATGCGCCGTACCGACGACACTAAACGCATTGGCCAAGGCAGAAGAGCGCTCGCGGCTGAGAAGGAAAAAAAAACGGTGCATGTCCGAAGCTGCCAGGCGGCATCCGGAAGCGCCCAGGACGCACCGTGCCAGCTGGTGGAGGATTGCGCACGGAGTACCCCGCGTACGTAAGCCCCTGCATGCGGAAAGACGGCGACCCGTGAAGATGGGCACAGGTACCTTTGGCGTCAAGGCGCTCCGTGCGCGGATTGTCTTTTTGTTGTCGCAACGCCCGTCCGAAACATTCCATTCCCACACCCATGACGCTTTCAGGGATTGGATCCGAGGCCAGGACCGTTTTTGTCTCTGAGCCACGCAAAAGGATAGACGATTTGCACATGATTCAAGAGCGGCCGTTTATTACGAATTCTGTCACGGTCCAACGGCAAGCAAAGGTACAGGTATGGTGCAAGTTGCAGTGCAGTACTCGTACGCGGACATTTTTTTTTTTTTTTTTTTACGAGAGGCACGCTTTGCTTTTGCTTTCAAGCTGACAAAAACTGGAATAAATACGACAGGATACAGTACCACTTACCTGCTTCGTACAATACTAAGGCAATTAGCACTACTGTGCTGTACATGTACGAGGCCTCGTAGCTTTGCAAGCCCTTCCCGCTGCGTGCCAGCCCGGCCAAGGTGCGGTCCTGGCCAGCCATTCGCCGGAAAGGTTTGATTCCTGTTGTTTTCTCTCACACTGGCCCATCACACGCCCCCCTACCCACCTGTCGGCACTCCCCTGCAGCAGCTGCAGCAGCTAGCAGCTTGTGACTTTTGAGCAACCCCAGAGAGAAGAGAGAGAGGAAGAGAGAGAGAGAGAGAGAGAGAGAGAGAGAGACGGAGAAGAAATCGTTTAATGGGCTGAGGGAAGAGAGGGGAGGAGAGGGGAGGAGAGGGGAGGGGGGATGCTGCTGCTGGTGATGGTGGTGATGGAGATGATGATGCTGCTGCTGCTGCTGAGCAGTACGGACAGAGGGAGGATGATGGAAGAAGCAACCTACTCGTACGCTCAACCTACAATCGTGTATTGTACGGCACGAGTACTTGGACCTCGACAGCAACCGGATCCCTGGCTTCTCTCTCGATTCTTGCTCTGCCTGCATCTCCACCCTCTTTCTCCTCTCCTCTCTGCGGACTAGCTAGCACAAGGACAGACTCCACCCCCTAGCGACGAGCTGGCGACTTGATCCATGGCTCCGCTTCAGCCCTCCAATCTATGAAAGCGCTAGCCATACAGCTCTCGAACCCGAATGACGGTAGTGCTACCTCGCACCCACACCGGCCCACGACCAGGATCGGGACAAGGCATCAGGTCCCGTCCAAAGGACAAGCACAAGCACAAGCACAAGCACAAGCAGCGCGTGGCTCAGCGACGAGATACCAGGCCCAAGTCCCAACACCTGGGGGCTCTAAAAACCCAGCCTTGGGGCGCTAGGGAGGAGAGAAAAAAACAGAGTTGAGCAGTTCGGGGACAAGGCAAACCGTCTTGTCACTTGTGGGCAGCTTTGCGCCAAACAGATTGCTCAGAGCGACGCCAACGACGACGCCGGCCGGAACCACAGGGAAACCTTATTGACAGTGTATTGAGGGAATCTCGGGACGCCAAAAGTACATCCATCAAAAAGCAGCCGCAGTCCCCCCTTCGGCTCACTCCGAGCCCTTCATCTGGTCTTTTTTCCCCATCTGCTTTGCGTGCAGCTCGACGACCAACTCAAACGCGGCCATCCTTGTCTGCCAAAACTCACTCTCTACACGACGAGAAAAAAAAAAGAGTAAAAGGCAAAAAAGCGGGAAACAGAATTCCATGAAAAGAAGTAAACGACAAAAAAGAAGACGCGAAAACGAAAAAGAAAGAGAAAAAGCCAAAAACACGGATAAGAAAGAATACCCCCGATAAACCACCTTTTTGTGCCAACCTTAATTCTGGAGGGCTTTCATCTAGAGTATTAAGGCTTCCGTGGCACTTGGACCTCTTCTCTCTTTTTTCCTTGTCTCCCTCTTTTTTTTTTTTCCTTTACCACATCGAGGCGTATACAAAAGTCTTACATACGCCCCCCTTCGCTTCCTGTGCCGTTCCCGGAAATCGTCTTTGACCACAACCACCTGCTTGTTGTCTCTGGTTACGGATCAAGATTCGACGCCGCTCCACCTCAAAAAGCCTTTTTTTCTTCTTCTTTCTACGGTAGCAGCGAGCCCGGCCTTTTTGACGTTTCCATCTCAACGCTCGTATATAAGCAACTCGCCCCCAGTCTTGTTCTTCCCTCCTCCGAACCCGTCGACTCGTTCATCCTATTGCCCCCCCCCCCCCCCCCCCCTCCTCGGTCAAGGCAATAGAAGAGCAAATCTGAGACGCCGTATCACTAAAAACGGCTAAAACATCAGCCCAGCACATCCGCCACTCCCGTCTTCGTTTGGGCATTCCAGCCAACCATCGTCTGCTGGCGTTGAGGCGCTGCCACTTCGCTGCACCCGCTAAGCGCTGCGCTCGCCTACCGCGGTCGCCTGCCCGTAGAGGGTAGAGGTACTCGTGCTTCAGTCGCCGCAACTTCGTATGTCATCCGCTGTTCAACCTCATCCATCACCTTCTCCCCAACGGATCACAGCCTTGCCAGAGGCCCGGCACTTGCCCTCTGATCCAAGCGAGTACCTGTCTCGGGGCTGCTGTGCATTGTCTTTCCTTGGCGCATAGCTGTTGCATCATCATCTCGACAAGCCTCAACCCGCCTCCTCGGAAACAACTTGTTGTACTCGAGAGACCTTGTGTTGTCTGTTGTTGACGCGCTCGTTGCCGAACAGAACAAGAGCATCTGTCTAACCTTTGAGCAACCAGCAGCCGTTGTGTCGACGATTCGAGCAGCCTCGACTCGATCAACACCTTTTGCAAAGCCAGTGCCATGGACTCGGTTCATAACCCGCCGTCAAGTTTTTCGTCCCGACGACCGGCAACTGGCGCCTTGCCTACCTTTTCCCTCCCCCCGCCACAGCCAGAGGTTCCAAGTATGGATGACCACTCTTCCCGACCTCGTTCTTTCTATCACATCAAGAACATCGATCTAACCCCCCCGTCTTCAGGAGCCAGCGAAGGCCTGAGCCCAGGATTGTCGAGTGTCCACACAAGCAGTTCGCAAGGTTCTCAAGCCCCAAACACCATGCAGCAATACACGTACAATGCCGGCCACGTCCACGGAAGTTGGCCAACACCCGGCAACCCCCCTTACGGCGTCAACTCAGCTACGGGCCAGCAAGCCGCCCCGATGCAGACCGCTGGCGGACAGTCATACACCGTCAATGCGGCCAACGCGGCCCAGCACCCTCTGGGAACGGCAGCCTACGCCCCGCGATCCCTCTATGCCCAGCCCTACGGCACTCAGCGAAGTCCCCAGTCCCCCGCCGCCCCTGGGGAAGCGTCCTATGAGCATCACCCTTTTCCATCTTCCAATGGCCAGGAGAGCCACTCAAGTCTGCCGTCGGGGAACATTACGCAGGCGCCGTCCTTGTCCAATGCTCCGGCCCATGCTGAGCCGTACGGGCACAGTCGGTCTTCCATTAGCGGACCCAGCTACGGCTCTTCGTCGACCGGCCAGCCCCAGCCTGGCTTCTCCTACGCAACCCAGCATTCGCCGAGCAGCCACTCGCCCACGGGAGCGGCGCCTCTTCCCCGGGGTCTAGGTCAGCACCCGCTCCCGTCCATGGCGCCACCCGGCTCCTATCGCTCCTATCAGACATACCAGGGACCGATGCCAACGATGGGCGGGCCCGTCATGTCCAACATTCACCAACCTGGCAGCTCCCTCTCGATGATGCCCGCAATGGTAACCGCTTACCCGGGGGGGCCAAACGTGATATACGCACACGCACAACCGCAGGCACAGCCTGAACGGCCATTTAAATGTGACCAGTGCGTTCAGTCGTTTAGCCGCAACCACGACTTGAAACGTCACAAGCGCATTCACCTTGCCGTCAAGCCATTCCCGTGCACTTATTGTGCCAAGAGCTTTTCACGAAAGGACGCCCTAAAGGTATGTAGTTGCTCCCGTGTTTCTGTTCTCTCCGTGGTAGTTGACAATTTGTTGCAGAGACACCGATTGGTCAAGGGCTGTGAAAACAAGAGCCACGAAGCTTCTGCCGAGAACCCCGGTGCTTCTGACGAAGGGGCCCAGCGAAATGGAGAGGCAGGTTAAGCAGTGACGCTTCAAGGGAACCGACCGGGCGACAGGACCGGGGTTTGCTCCGGATGAGGCGAGCAGCTTGTACAGTACTACTTGTATACGCACAAGAGCACCTTGCAACGGCAAGCGGATGCAGGAGAGCAGCATATGGTTGGTTTTGATACCCAGCGGAAAAGGGGAGGGGCACAACGATGGAGAGATGCAAAAGCCCCCCTCAGACGAGGTAAAACATGCATTGATCTTACAACAAAAGGGAAAAAAAAAATCACACAAGACACACCGGACCAGGAATTGCAGCATTTGTTCCATGGACTCTGGAGAGTTTTGTTTTGTTCCGGGGTGGTTTTTCACCTCGTTCCATTTCATTTAATCCTTCTTTAGTATCTTTTTTTTTTCCATCCCTCTTCTGCTTCATATCTGGCGTTTAAAGAAGGAGGGGCCAGGGTTTACTCTACTACAGAGCAAGGATGGCCAGGCAGGGTTATAGGGATAGGGAGTGTATAATCTACGGGATATCGGGTTTAAACAAGGTTCTGGACAAGTCACGTCGAGAGCATATGGTATGGACGCAAATGGAGTTTGACGGGTTTGATGCAGAGTCAGCAACAGTAATAAAACCATCTGTCATGGGTAACACGTCCGCTTGTTTCCGGTGGTTGCAGTGACAAGGGGGCACGTTTCATCTGCCAGATGCTGGCTCCAAGGAGTCGTCGGCAGATGGATGAGCTTTGCAGGGCAGTAGAAGGAAAATACAGGCTGGTCCATGTTGACTACTATGAAGCAGACAAGGCAGACTGGCAATGGCAACTTACATACAAACAAGGCAAGGCAAGATGACAAACAAGCTGCAGGTTGAAGAGAACAAGGCAGAAGCCGAGCCGCCAAACCGAAAAGAGAGCGGCTGAAGGGGCTTCGGAAGCGAAATGAGCAAATGACAAGTTGAGGAAACAAACCTCGCCGCTCCCACACACTGAGACGAAGGAGCTACAGAATGACGACGACTGCACTGCTGAGCGAAGAGCTGAAAAAAGAGAGACGAGAATGCATGCGTGTAATCGGTCAATCCATCCATCCACAGGTAGTTACTAAGTTAGTTAGTTGGTACATGGGGGGGGGGGGGGCTTAGAGAGAGAGAGAAGTTGGTTCCGAAAAAGTCAAGCCTGTGCTAGTACGAGAACAGGAACTCTCTCTTTTTTCTTTTTTTCAAGTTATTTTATGTATTTATGTTTTTTATGATTTGATGGCTTTTTAGGATGGTTGTGATTTGCTGCTTCGGCTGGGCCGGTGTGTGTGTTTATCTCCGCCTGGGGGCTGGAAAAAGGGAATATTTGGAAGGGGATAGAAAAACTGGGGTGGAGAGGATTATAAACACCTGCGCGTTGAATTATACGCTTGTTCTTTTTTTTCTAGGTATCTGCTACTATATCTATATTTCTCTAGTATCTGCTATTATATTTACATCGTCTTTAGTAAATACTATTATAGTTACATAGCAACATTCGGGTGCTAGCTGAATCATAGGTATTCCCTCACGGAGTATAAAAGCAACCACTTGATGAACCGATCGGGGTGCTGATATTAATGAATGTATGCACTTGGTTTATTTTGCGGTCTCGCTTTCTCCGGCCTCCCCTTTGGGAAGAAAGGCTGAGAGGCGCTGTTTTGAGCTCTCTTTGTCTTGGGGGCTTGGAGTGGCGTTTTCTTCTTGTCTTTTTTTGGGGGGTAGGCATCTTGAGCTCGAAAAAAAAGGTTTTGGGGTGGTACGAAAAGTGCTGAGAGGGAGAGGAAGCTGACGCATTTGTGGGTGAGATTTGGGGGACTCGAGCATGTTTTGTTGTGTCTGTGTGTGTGTGGGAGAGTACCTAATGTATATGGGTGGGATGGTTCTCTTATTGTTTTAGTGGTTTGCTTGGGGTGTTATTGTTTTTTTGAGGCAAAATTGTTTTTTTAATGGGGGATTATTAGGGGGGGCGAAGGAGGATGAGAGAGGATGAGTGAGGGAGTGAGAAAGAGAGAGTGCAGCTGAGTGGCGAAAGGTTTCGGGGATTTTTTTTTTTTGGTTGGGAGGTGTGGCTCGGCTCCAAGTTTTTGTCCGTCTTTATTGTTTTATTCCATTATTGTTGTTGTTTTGTATCCATGTCTTGCTGCCTCCGTGTATTATGTGTTGAGTGTTGAGTCTTCCTTCACCAGAGGAACGGAGAGGAGAAATAAGACATGCATTGCATACGTGCTACTCAGGTGCCACGACTCTTTGCGTCCAATGTGTCATAAGTGGTGTCTGCATTTTCTCTCTCCCCAGCCCCCATGTAGAAAAGTCTTGTATGCGTGCGCATGTTGCCTGCATTTGGTCATTTTCAGAGACAAGAACCAAACCCAAAAAATCGATATCATGAAGCAGCTAATGCACCTCGTCCTCACCGGTCGAACAGGGTTTATTCTTCCCAACACCCCGGGATCAAAAAATAAAAATAAAGACACTCCTTCAGCTCTCATAGGCTACCTATCTGTGCAAAGTCATTTCTCTTCTTTTCTCCGTCGTCGAATCGAAGAGCCCTTGTCAAAGTCGCCACATCCCCAACCCTTTCTTTTCAGCTGTTTACATGCGTCTTGCTACATCTCGGAGCTTCCTTGTGTGCCTTTTTTATTATTCTTCTTCTTTTTCTCGCATAGCTCCGATGTGCAACCACCACCTGCTTTGTGAGAGCCCAGCTCTAGTAGGTTGTATGGCTGCGTCGAGGGATATTGGCTGCTGTGTTGCCCACAATGTTTTATATGTAAGCAAAAGAAGAAAATGCTCTCCTATAGGCACGTCTTGTCGAAACGACTCTCCTCCTGGTTCAAAAGTGTGGCAACGAAACCGGGATCAAACCTGTCTATTGATTGAGGCTTTTTTTCTAACAGCCAAAATGAGATCCACCTCGTCGCCGAGAGTCCTCATAAAGGTTCCTTTTTTTAACCCCCATGTTCTGATCCATCTCTTCCCGTGTGACACACGCACACGCCCCAAAAGCCGCGTGCTGATCCCTTTTTCCCTTTGACACACGCCCCCTATTGTCTCGCTTTTTTCTCTCTCAGGTGTGGGATCCAATCACTGCAAAGAAAGAAAACAAGAAGGAAAAATATTGCAAAGGAAAAACACGCCTCCCCCCTGTCCTCCAAACTATCTTGTTTTCCATCATATTTCTTATCATCGCCTTGTTTCGGGAGTGAGGACGTCAAAATAGGGCTTAGGACTGGGTATTTTTGGAGGAGGGATCCGGTCAAATAGGCATGCTGCATGTCGGCAATGTCTGGAACGGCTACGGACGGGAGATGCGAGGGTTCGGGCAGATACGTGCCGCGGATGGCTGCATTTGGGTGCATGGATGATGACGCTTGGGGGTTTTATTTGTTGTGGTGGATTTGGGGACCAGATGGTCATTATTTGCGATTGAGCTGAGACTGTAATGTATAATATTTGTTGATACTCGCAAAAGAAGGAATCAAATGCCCAAGCAATTACAGTATCATAGGCGGTTGCTTCAATATGAAGCTGAGCCTTCGAGATACCCGGCATCACAGAGCAGCATGTCCAACCAATTATTTACTGAGGTTATGGATAACACTGAAAAATACATGGCCAATAGAACAGGGCGGAATATATATATGTATATGTATATGTATATAGCCGCTCGAGGTTATTTGCTTCATCTCATGCACCGTCGCACAACCTCGACAAACCCTGCAAGCCATACATTGTCCTTTTACGATGGGCGGCACATGGCATAATTTCAAGCGGGCATCGGCTGATTTAGAAAGATGGAACATGTTTAGAAATATCGCTGTGGACGCTCAAGCATGGTATTCGCTTATCCTACATCTCCATCCATCCTCCATTTGCACCTGTAGCCCCTGAGTAACAAGCTCCTCGCCAACATCGTGAACTCAATGCCCGTGACTTCACCACGACCATCGCCATTATCCCCCAAGAACAATAACAGCATCATTCGGACAATGCAGCGTCTGCTTCTCGCTCGATGCAGCAGAGAACTCCAAACTTCTTGGGAGGAGACCAATACTCCAGAGGCCCCTGATTGCCAACGACGAGCGACAGCCAAGTCTTGACGGCCCTCTCAAGTCTATACACGAATATGAAAGAGTTCGAGTTGCCAAAATCCCATAGATTTGCATTGACGACCTGTACAAAGCGCTGCCGACGGCCAACATATTGGACCCGGGCTCCAGCGAGCGCATTGCTTCCCGTCTTGGGACGAGGCACTCTGTCAATCACCCAAAAGGCTTCCGCTCCGGACTTGCAGCACGCGCGGAAGAGCATCCCGTCCATCGCCCGCCGCCTGTAGTATCTAGGCATGGGTGATGGGTCCTGGAAAAACTCGCTCCACGACTCGTCATACAGCAGAGCAAAGTTGAGGAAGCCAATCTGGAGGAACGGGGGCATCGATGGCTCATTCGCCGCCCAATGGAGGATGCTCTTCAAGTCTTTCTTTTCGAAACATATCATGTCTCTCTCCGGGGTATACGTCAAGCTCATCTCTCGATCTCCCTGTTTGAAGCGGCCACTCAACGTCGGAAGATCAGCCGGGCCTTGCTGCCTGTCCCGCTCCTTCGCTCGCTCTCTCGCTCGTTTCCTGCGCACCAACTGGACCATTTCGCGGGCCTCCCAATAGGTACCCCAGAGGTTGTCCTCCATCGAGCGCAGCGAACGGGTGTCGTTTAGCTCAGTGATCAACAGGGGTGTCTTCTCTTGGGCGTTGGGGTTGATATAAGCTGCCATGCTCTCTGGCAAGGGCTTCCAACGTCTGCAAGTGCTGAAGAAGAGGGCACTGCCTACTTGGGGAGGCCAGAGCGCAAACTCCCAGACCGTCTCCCGCAACTCGGGGGGGAGTTGAGGGAAGAGGTGGAACGCAGTCAGCCGTCCGCCGTGGCTGGCCATGCTAGGGAGCTGTGCCGAAGAGATGTTGAAATCGATATCCGAAAAGAAATTATGTAGGTGAGGGTATAATCTGTGTTCAACAGACTACGTGTAGAGATGCCTGGGAAAGACAGCAACATAGATAGACGCAAGCATGACCTGCCAACATGCCGAAATCACCTGCTTCAGCATCGTTGCATGATGAATTGCTGCAAGCATGGCCCCGCCAATAGGCTTACAAGGAGACGGCCACTCTTTCCAACCCACTCTGGAGATGTGCGACGGTGGGGATGCTGAAGTTGAGTGGCGAGGAATTGAACCTTGATACATGTAATCAGTTTGAATCGCTAGCTCTGGGCTAAATATTTACAGTGCAGTACATGGCTTCGGTCCGAGAACCAACGGCGGAATTGGATAAAGAAGTTTCGAGGAAGAAGGAAAATGAAGCAGACCCGGATCCAGGGCGTATGCGTAACAAAGACATGTTACCTTAAGTACATGTTACTCGGCTAAGGTATATCCCTCACGACGTGAATGTCAAGAGCTTGCATCCAAGTCGTTACATAGGTACGTGTATGTATCTAGCGCCGTCATGGCTTTCCTGGGAATTCATTCCTTCAACCCTTTGGAGATGGAGAGGGGAAATGGGTATGCGTCACCTCAAAGAGCTACTAAACTCAGAATCTCGAAAAAGGACGCAGTGCTGATTCTTCCCCAACAATAGCCTAGAGATTTGCAGACTTGGCAATGCCCTCAAACTATCCGCTTCTCACACTACCGTTGGCATCTTCACTCATCTCATATACTTCAGCAAAGGAGAAGACCATGTCACCACATGATCAAGCCCACAACGCTCCATATGTTCCGCGACAGATCTATTCACAACGAGCTTTGCCGCATCTGGAGCCAGGCTTTCAGTGATGGGGCATTCGGGGGATGCGAGCAACGGATGCGAGAGTACCGAATGTCTTGTTTGGCAGAATTATCGCTGCCGAGTGCCAACCGATTGATATGACAAAGCGATTTCGCTTTTACAGCTTCGACGTCATGGGCAATCTCGCCTTTGAAAAGTCATTCAAGTTCATGTTCCTGGAAGCATGTCCGAGATGTGTCCGCAATATGCACCTGGAAGGAGTAAGTCATCTATAAGCCGCAAATCACAGGGACAGTTTTGCACTGTCTACCTTCCCATGATGCCTGCTTATTCTTTAGCTACAGATGAACCCGTTTATATGAAAGCAGACTTGTTGGTTCCAGAACGCTATTACTAACTTCCGGCCATCCTCAACAGATCAGCTACACCACTGGTTGCTCCAAAGTATAATGTGCCGGTTGATCGTCACCCTCTGCAGGCCCATACGGCTGTATCCGGAAGCATCTGGCGCTCGGGGACATTCGCCAGATGGTTGAAAGGCTTGTTTGGACGTTGGTCTATTGCCTTTGCCCCAGGGGAGGATGAGGCTAGTCTTGAAATTGAAAGGGATGATGCCGGTGCTTTAATGATGACTTGTGGCGAGCCAAGACTAACGCTCAAGCTCAGGGAAATCCTCTAGAGACTATATAATGGTAATGCAAAGAACGTTCAAGCAATGGAGTGGTAGGTCAGCGTACCAAGTAGCTGCAAAATGTCTCGTATCCATTCAACCAGCTGATAGGTACAAGAGTCAATTGTGATTACCGTTTAGATAATTATGGAAAGCATTACAGCCATGGTCATAATGTGGGAAGAGAGTATGAAGAAGAAAGACGGGTGGAAATCGGGGGGAGTGTCAGCTCAACAAGAGAATAATATCGCAAACATGCTCATCGACGTACTAGTAGTAGATGACATTATATCAACGAAAACAGCAATGGAAATTGACTCACATCCAGGAATACGAGATTGACGATGCCTAACTTGAACAGCCAACACCAAAGAGTGAATCTACACAAGGGCATCAATCCAAGCCACGAGAGTTGTTGTTGTTGGGCGCCTCTTGTCAGAAGCTGTCAGTTTTGATGGAACATGTCCGGAGTATTGGCATGTACTTTTCCCCTCCATTGCATGTACCGGTACCTTGTCAAAGGACCCAATCACCAACCCCACAGCGCGAACCCACCCTGTCAAAACACCTGCGTCCATTTGCGCACGAAAATCGCAAACAACCGGCCGGAAACGAGAAAAAAAAGAAGCTGGACGTTGATCGTGAGAGAGTTTTTTAGTCATCGCACAAGGTGAGACAGGCCAATGGGCGACGCTATTTCGGGACCAATTGGGGGGAGAAGCTGCCGGGTGTTCCATTGAAGAATGATGTGGTCCGGTCTGTTCAGGGAATCCAGCCATGTTGATGGCGAGTAAATAAATACCTACTTGGAGCTGCTCGGTTTCCCATTGCCGGGTCTGTCTTTTTAGGTATTGTCTCTCAACACAGGGCTGATATTCGACAATTATACTATCAGCTGTCAACTATCCAGCCATACATCATATATTAACCCATTTACCCAGTTTGTTTGACCTGGCCTCGGCCTTTTTCTCATTCCGCCCTCCACCCAACCTCAAAACTCGTTCTTCAAATAGAGCTAGCACACAGAACCCATAAGCGGGTCTCTTTTTCTCCGTCAGCGGGCATTCCATTGCTTCAACGCTACATAAAGGAGGAGTCGCGGCTACATTGCCATCTCGTCACTTTTGCTCGAGTTGCATAGGTGGACCGGCATACAAACGACTCGACTCGACTTCCAGGTCACACAATTTGCTCTCAAGCAGAACAAGCCAACGTGCTCATACAGACCAACCTACGGAACACATAAAAGACGGTGTAGGACTAGAATCCTTTTCAAAGAGTTCTCTCGTCTTTCTTCCTCTTCACGCCCATCCCATCCCATCATCATTCTCGCAAGAAGGCTCTCTCTATTAGCATAAAACCCCCTCCCAACGACAATCATCATGGATATGGACATGGGCGGCATGGACATGGGCGATTCGTCGGCCGGCTCCAACTCCTCCACCATGACGATGCTCATGGCCATGGTCTTTCAAACCGACATCCACACGCCCCTCTACGCAAACTCGTGGACGCCCAGCCAGGCCGGCACCTACGCCGGCACCTGCATCTTCCTCATCGCCCTCGCCGTCATCGCCCGCCTGCTGGTGGCCTTTCGGATCCGCCAGGAGCGCATCTGGGCCGACAAGGACGCCCAGCGCCGCTACGTCGTCGTCAACGGCAAGGAGCCCGTGTCGGAGCGCCTCTCCAGAGACCCCGACGCCAAGAGCATCAACATGATGCTCTCGGAGAACGGCGTCGAGGAGAAGGTCTTTGTCGTGCAGAGGAAGCACTCTTCGGTTCAGCCGTGGCGATTCAGCGTCGATCCTGTCCGGGCTGCCATGGACACTGTCATTGTTGGCATCGGATACCTCCTGTGAGTCTCTTCTACCCCCTTGGTTTTACCTGCCCATATACAACCAGAATGCTGACTTGGATGCTTCTCTTCCAGCATGTTGGCTGTCATGACCATGAATGTCGGATATTTCATGTCTGTCCTTGGTGGAACATTCCTGGGGAGCCTCCTCGTCGGCCGCTATTGCCCCCTTCCCTCCCACTAAATGCCAGCCGCATCAAACAGCATATCGCAGCACGAGCATATGGCATTTCATCTCTGTTTTTTACAAATCTTCATTGGTATTATTCACGGCGATGCGAGAACGGCATTATTTGGCGGTTAGATGTAGTTTTGATTCCCCTGTTTTAGAGCGGGCGTTTTGGTGTTTTCAGGCATTGGACGGACACGGTGGAAGGAAAAAGAACAAGCTGGCTGGTGCAAGGATATATGAGCATAGTTGACAGCGTTGGGTCATCACGCACGGCACATCCATGGGAGAGAAACCTCGAAGGAATATACAACAATTGATCGAATCATGGAGCAATTGTGATGCCTTGATATTGAAACCGGTTGGAACTCTCATCTTGTCTCGCGCAGGTACCTCGAAGTAGCCGGTACTTCCGCCCACCCGGTCTTAGAAAACCTTCTCAAACCTGCTCGCACCATGCCGGAAGCGGGTAAATGTCTTTTGACCAACAATGCTCAGAGTCACGTGGTCGTTTCCAGAAAACTACCTATCCTTCCGCGATTATGTAATTTCGGAAACCGGTTCTGAACATGCTTCAACTTGAGATCGTGCAGAGCTTGTATCAAGGTATTCCAGTCGAAGACTTTGTACAAGGCATCAATGGGTTACGTCGTTTCGTCTGGCCACACTCCCAGCAATGAATCATGAATCCAAGTTGCCCACTCACGGAGAGCTGTGTTTTCCCCGAACCAATCCGACTCCTTGGAACTCATCAATCAACTCTTGTCTATACTTGCCAGACTACAAGGGGCTGAGAGAAACAAACCTCATTCAACGGTGATGGCAGCTCACCAATCTTAGGGACGCTTTCTTCCATTGTACAGACCATCTCGGTCAGGGCCTCAAGCTTGTTGTTGAGCGCTTCCTCGGACAATTCGGCCAGGTGGGCTTGTTTCTCCATCGCTTGGAACTGGTGTCGTATTTTCGTTTGCATCGCCATCATCTCGTGTTGTAACTTCTTTTGCACCTCCATCATCTCATGCTGTGTTTGAAGTTGGTTCGCTAGGATCTCGTGCCGTAGTTTGACTTCTGTGGCCCTAGACTCCTTGCGAATCTGCTGATGTAATTCGCTCGCAAAGGTCCCGAGGACCCTCTCCAGCTGCTCTGGAGTCATGTTCATCATTGTGAAAGGGGTAGATTATCGTGGGAGTTGCTTGATACTATCGGTAGAGAAAAGGAGGCCACTCAAAGCAAAACAATACGAAAGGAGACAAAGACTTTGACGATTTGCGGGGGAAAGAACGGAAAATAGAGGACGAAGGGATGGGCAAGGAGCCTGGAATATATAATGCCGGTTGAATAGATAAGAGGCAGCGTGGAGCATAAACCTTGGCTACGAAAATGCCACTATGGATACCATGATACTAGGCAAGGTAGTGTTATAGAAGTCAAACAGGTATTTGGAAAGAAAGTCTCCATCTTGGAGTAATTTTTGAGTTCCATCTTTCTAAACCATGGAAGCCCCGAAAAGGCTGTACCTGAGGAGGCCATATTCTTTGCCTCATGAAACACAGCTCTCACTCCAGGTGCCCGATTTGAGTATCACTCACTCATAGTATGTTCAGTCGAATGCTTCATAAAAAAGCATTCTTCTTCGGCGTCTTTCAACAGGATCTCAGTGACGGAAATAAATCTTGTAAAGTCACTCATCAAGTGGAGTTCACGATATACATCGTCACCAGAAAACGCCGTGGTGGATGCCGAGTCTCTTGTACTTTAGCAAACGCTAATAGCCACTCAGAGAGGGTCCACGCAATTAGATAAATGAGGGTCCAATATGTATATTCGTGTACCTTGTGTCTACAAAACGACTACGTGGTGGTGTAAGTCACATACCCACCTAATTAATCGTTATAGTTCTGAATAACTGACTTAAAGAAGCTCTGAATAACTACTCCCGTAATGAAGATATCAATGAGGGCATGTAATAGCCATCTCTATCCCACAGGGTTGTCAGAATGGCTGAAAACCCTGGTATCTCTTAATTGAGTCCATAGGCTCCATAGCGGGATAAACTGAGCTTTTAGGCCTGAGTCTAATCAGAGGGGCACCTCCGCATCAAGTCCCCTTTCCTATACTCCGTTCCCACTCTACATCTTGTGAGCCCCCCTCATGTACAATTACCAAACCAGCTGGGGAAGTAAGTAACCATTCCTCAGACGTCCGAATATCCGCCTATGAGAGAACAACTCTCAGCTCCGGGGTTGTCTCGCTATTACCAAATAATCCTCCTCGGATACGCAGAATCCTCAACCATGCAGAGACGAGTCATACACTTAAACAAGTTGTCCTATTGATAGGAAGTACCTAGAAGATACCATCACGAAAGTCACGTGTATTGTTTCCCAACCGCCATCCAACAAACGCTTATGTAACGTCAGAAGCAACGCCATTCCACCTCTTCATTACAAGCGACGACGAGAAAAAAAAGCCATTCGTATCATCAGATCCCTGTTCATAGGCGATTTCGCTACTCAGTGTGTAGCAAACCCCTCCTCGTGAAGATCCCAGCAGCTCGTGCAAATTCCACTCTTCGTACACTTCAACCAACACCGTTCCCCAAATCAGCCTCAACAGCCCACAACATTCCCTCAAAGCCGTTCAACCTCCCCGAATAACAGGCCAAAATAACCAACATGATTCATGTTATCCCGAAAAAAGATAAACTCACACGTCAAAAGAGTCTCGTATCGTCAACCCCATCATCCTCTCCACAAAACCGTCGTCTCCCTTACCCAAACCGTCAAAAAAACGCAGCCACCACATTCTCTCCCTCCCTCCCATCCAACACAAAAACCATAAACTTCACCTCTCTCAACTCCCTTGCCAAACCTCCAAAAATCCCATCCTCATCCCAAATTGCCACCCTCCCCTCCCAACACCCCAAAAAAAAAACTCTTAATCAACACCCATCCCACCCAACAAGTCCAAACAATAACCCTCCCAAAACCTCCAACAAAAAAAAAAAAAAAAAAAAAACACCCTCACAAAAACAAAAACACAAACCTCCCAATCACACTCCTCCTCCCTCCCCAAAATGGCAATTCATCTTCCCAAATGCGGATAGCCAAAGAAAGTAAGGAGGGGAGTGGACAAAAAAAAAAAGACTTACTCCATTGTTCCAAATCGAGAAACAGCATTAATCGCAAACAGGTAAAGGATGGGTTAGACAAAAAAAGACAAGACAAAAAAAAAGAATCCACGCATCAAAGGGGTCCCTCTCTTCCCGAACGGCCCGCCTCTCCGGGACCAAAAAAAATTGCCTATTCAAGAGGTTTGCAGGGCTGATCTATCTAGACTTGGTTTGATCTTGCGGATTGGCCCGTTCTAACCTCAAAGAGGCCCTTTTGAAGATCACACGATGCCCGTCTGGTCAAAAAGAGAGTCATGCGCCGCACTGACGTGGTCCGAGCAAATCACGAGTCACGTTCCCAAAAAAAGTTCATTAATGTGTACAAAGTTAGAAAGGAGAAATTCTCTGTTGTTTGGCCAGCTAGGTTCATCAGATTCATATGATGTCTTCCTCATTTTTGCCGCCATCAACAATCATGCCCTCATGTGTCCATTATCGTCCGCCCCATCCCATCGTCTTCCCTTCCCCCCTCCCTCCGGCCTCCCAAAATCCAGACCTGCCCAGACCTGCCACCCAAGTACCAACCCATCTTGAGATTGCCGTGCCCAGCATGAAGAAACCACATCTTGCTCGAATCGCACCCGAAAGCTAGAAACTCTTCCACCTTGGTAGGTGGATCTGAGAGCACTCACCCTTGCATACAAGAGTTCAAAATGCTTGCACAAAAGGCCGCCGCCAACGTCCATTCTTGTTTGTAATCAATACAGTCCTCAGTCCTCCCTTAACACACGCCATCGACGCTTCGAAACGCTCGGTGCCACAAGTACAACAACGCTTCTAACTTTTTCCAGGTCGAGAATTGAAAGGATCGACATCTTGGCAGCAAGACATTTGTCGTCTTGTTAATGCTCCAAACAAGATTCTCTTCCCCGGCTGAATTGAAAGAGGCGTCAGGGTTCGTGTAGCTCCTGAATTTGAAACAACGGAAAGACTTGAGAGAAATCAATGAGAAAATAAAATAAAATAAAAAAGGAAACGGGGCAAAGCACAATATGATGAAAAAGGATATGAAAAGCATATCAACACAGCATCAACGCCGAATGGGAACCCTCGCATAAATGTGACGGCAACATCCTGGAGACGGATCAAGGCCCGCGAACAACACCTCCAAAGATTGTTGAAAGCAGGGTATTAACGGTTTCAAACTTTATCTTGTTCCCCAAGAGTTCTTTTTTATACGGTACTGCTCATGACTGGTGATGAGAGCTGGGGGGCATTCCTGGCTGTGGAGGCATGCCAGAGCCGTAGCCTTGGTTGCGCTGCACATAGCTCTGGTAGGCCAAAGCCTGCTGGGGATCCATGGGCATGTTTGGAGGCATATAGCCTCCAGGGCCCATGTGTGGGTTTTGGGGCATGCCTGGACGGCCGCCCTGCGGTGGGAGGTGGCTGGGAGGCTCCTCAGGCGAATCGACCTGGTCACCGCCGTCGACACCGTTTTCGCTGCCCGTCGTGGGCTCAGGTGCGTTGAGGCATGCCTGTTTGACAGAGAGGATTAGCATCCGAGTCCGCAAGATGAGAGGAAGAAGAGATGGTTGGGGGCGAGGAGCGTGTTAAGCGGCCAATTTGCCGCCAGCCGTGTGGCCACATCTGCTCTGGCTCGCATGGGAAAGAAACAGAAAATCATCCGTGAAGGCGGTGCTTACCTGGATCAAATTCTTGCCCTCAGCCTTGGTAACGAGCGGCTGAAGCTTGGGCGTGGTGAAGGTGTAAACCAGGCCCGTCTCAGACACGACCAGCAGCAGAACCTGGGTGCCTGTCAAGACGGACAATTCGTACGCCTGCAAATGGAGAGATTTTCTTGGTTAGCCGGGAGTGTTCTTCTCGGATGGAGCGGAAAGCGAGCAAAGACGGCGATGCCCATCTCGACCATGACCCGCGCGCGCGCCCGCTCAATCACATTTTATAGAAAGCAACAAAAACAAGTTGTTTTCCCGTGGTTGGTCGAGGCGCGGGGGGGGAGGAAAGGCCAAGCGGTGCAACTTGGAGTCAGACCAGACCCAGCACAAGGCCAAAAAAAAAAACGCACCTTCTTCATGATGCCCGCCTTGCGCTTGGAAAAGGTGATGTGGCGGCGAGACTTGTCGCTGATGAACTTGATCTCAATCTTGCGACGCTCGCGGCCGCCCTTCTCGTCATCGTCGTCGTCGTCGTCGGCAGCTGGGCGCGGTCGCTTGACGCCGCGGCCCTCGTTCGCGTTGCCATTGCCCACCGAGTGCGCGTCGTCGAGCTCCGTGGGCGACGTCTGGTCGTGCTGGTCGGTGATGTCGGCCATGTTGAGCGTCTGCGGTTGCAACTGCGACAGCAACTATAAAATGCCAATGCCAATCCTAATCCGAATCCAATCGTCGTCGACTTGTATCACACGGCGCTGGAAAAGGCAACGAGTGGTGGAGATACTGCTTTGAGCGTGGTGCCGATGGATCTATACTGGATCTGGCGGTTTTTTTTTTGGGCGGAGAGGACAGGCGGAAAGAAAAGGGAACTGGTCCTGGTTGGGAGGCGCTGGAGCTGGATCGAGTCTGGCCGGAGCAGGCAGTGGCCAGTGGAGGCGGGTGCGCACGGTGGCGGTGCAGTGCGTGCGAATCAGGTGGGCAGCGCGTGTGGACTGTGAGCAGAGACTGTGAGCAGAAGGGCAGAAGGCGCGGGATGGTTGGAATTTCTCAAGTTAGCGAGTGTGTTTTAGCGGCGCTAGTGCTGTGCCGGGGCGCTTGCAGGCCGAGAGGGAGGGGGGAAACAAACAACAAGTTTTTCGACGGCGCCGAGAAGCCCTGTGCCAGTTTTATGTCATTTCGAGGCTGCGAGCGAGCTACAACTGAGACCTCAGCAGAGTCGCGGGCATGTGCATCAGACAGCCAGCATCCAATCCAATCCGCCGAACCGGCACACCCCCCAGCCGCGGCAATTGGCACCCGCATTTAGTGCGCTTATCGCCTGACGGGTGACTGCGAGATGACGGGGGTGGCATAGCGCGGCTTTGCGATAGCTGCGGCGCTGCATGTGAGTGGCCAGCCGTGCGACGAGCCCTCGGGGGCTGGAATTTTGGCACCCGGCAGAAAAGCGGGGGGCAGTTCCGCTGCCACTGGGCAGTCAGCATCCGGGTAGTCCACACCGTGCTATTTACTAGATTTTCGACACTGTATCCGCCGACTCCCAGCCTTCCCAGCTTTTGCGCTTCCAAGGCTCGACAAAACAGTGGGTCAGTGGTGCCCATGGGCCGATTAAGGACATGTACATGTGCTCCGTACTGTGCGCCGTGAGAAAATCACGCTCCAGCTGCCAATTACTAATTGCATTGCTGCAGACGACACGAAATGGAAGTTCTAGATGCTCTGCAGCAGCGGTTTTTTCTGTGGCCTCGGCGCTCTACGTTTAAATCCAATCCACCGGGTGGACAAATGCGCATGTACGAGTACTGTAGAGGTCGTGTAAGCTTGCTTTGGGGGATGCGCTCAACTAAGGTTAGGGGACAAGGTAAGGTAAAGGTAAGGTGATGAGATCTACGGGACGCTCGCGCCGCCTCTCCATCACGGCTAGCTCTGACAGATCAAACACAGGGGAGCTGATGCAAGAGGAAGGGGAAATTGACTTTCTGGCTCCTCGTATTACAGAGCACTCACTCGTACGCGAGGCGTGCAAAGTGTTTTTCGTAGGCCTACTCTATGGTTTTCCGGGGTCCGTATCCCGCGCCAAAAGCTCCTCTTGCCAATTTTATTTGAAATTTTCCATAACCAATGTTCTATCTAGCAGGTACAACTTACAAGCATCTTTGTCTTCCCATGGCCTCCATGTATCTCATCCCTCCGTCACTTGACCCAGACCAACGGGTGTGGATGGCTGGACCAAGATGCCGTTGGCTCGCTTGCTTCCCACCTCAGCCCGCGCCAGAGATGGAAGCTTCAGGGGCGAGAGGCTGGACTCGGCTCGACCGTCATCCTCTTCCATGTGCTTTTCTCACCAAGCTCCTCCAATCCCAATCCCAATCCCAATCCCAATGCCCAAGTGTTTTTGGCCGTCAGCGCGTTCGGACACACATCAGCCTCCACTCCGAATGTCTTGCTGCATCTGCCGACCACCCTTCTGCAGCAGGGGAATCCGGAATCCTCTTGGTGCGAGCGTTAGTTCCAGTAAGCAGGCAGTGGAGTTGCACCAGGACCGTCATCAATGTACCCGCGGATGGTGGCCCTACCACTGCCGCGTGCAAAATCCGCTGGCGTGCTGTTATATCAGCGGCGATAGCATCAACGCGGGTACATGGGACGACGGGTATGCTTGACCGGGTGAGACTGGCCGCTTATGTACAGTATCCCCTGCCATGAATTCAATGGCTTAGTCCAACGGTTCCAGGTGCGCTCATACTGTACTCTACTGTACTGTACTGTACTGTATCCGCACCCGTGCTTTGTCGACCTACACACAACGTGGGAGTAATACTCCGTACGGCCGGCGTTGATACGATACAGGTACGACGAGCACGAGTAAGAGTACTCGCATTAGTTGAAGAGACGCGCTGCAGCAGCCCCTGCGTTGCTGCATGAATGACATTATGGCTCTCGACCAGCGCCAGCCTCGGTACCGCAGTTGTGCTTGGCGAACTTTTGTCTAGCCCTCGAGCCGTTGACACTACTGTACGAGCACTGGGCTACCAAGCACCATCATCGACGTTTGCGAAATTGGGAGGGGCTGGCAGTGGGAGAAAAAGCCGTCAAGACGAACAAGACAAGTACAAGAAGAATGAGAGTCTCTGCAAAGCACACATCAGCTCCATTCCAGGCCTGTACTGTACAGTAACCAGCACGGACGGGCTCTCTCGTGCCAGTCATGGGGTCCAGGGTTTCACCTTTTGGACGGGGAAGCGACGCGTGAGGGCTGACCTGACGCGAGACCCTGGACCCTCGTCTGCGCTGCGTTCCGGCCGGTACTTTGAAGCCATGCGAGTGTATGAGATGCCACCATGTACTTACGATACTCGGCTCGACACACACGCGCACAGGCACAGGTACTACCAATATTCTTCCCATGCCCACCCCAAGCTGACACGGGACACGGGCCAAGCTGTAGCGGCCCACCGTCTTGGACTTGTTATCGACGGGCCTTAGTAATACACGAACTCGAACTAGCACGGCCTTGCTTGAAGGATGCGGAGCAAAAGATGGACGATGGCCGGCCCCCTACTGTAAGAGGTGGACAGGTGAGGCAAGTACCCGGACGAGTTCCCGGGCAAATAAGGTAAGGTTAGTTACAGACACAGTGCCAGAACATCTGCTGGACATTGTGTCGGATTACGTGAAGGAGCTCTGTGCCCTCGATTCGCGAGACGACAATACTCGGATACACGTAACTCGCAATCTATATAAACGACCAGACCAGACTCTCTCGTTTCATCACCAGCCAAGGCACGCCATATTCGCAGCGGCTGTCAGAACGCTTGGGGCAGCGGCAGAAATGGGGGTCATTACCATTTTAGGCAGCTACAGCAAGCAGGGGGCTGGCCACAGTGCGGCAAAGGATTCAAAAGGGCCTTTGCATTTCTACGAGTAGGTACCTATCGTATGGTTCCACCGGCGAACAAAGCCGGTCGGACGCAAAGGCGTCGCCGCCACTGCGCACAGTCCCTGATTTCTGCTGCCCAGTTGTTTTTGTTTTTGCAGCAATGAAAGAGCAAGAGAGAGAAGAATAAAAAACGGGCCGCGTCTTGCCCGGCAAAAGCTGAAAAAGAGCTGGGGGCTTGCGTTCGGATTCGCCCGACCACCCTGATTCTCCAATTGCCGGTTGGCTGGCCAGGGTCTCTTTGCAGCTGGGCTGGGCCCGGACTCTCTTATTTTTGCAACGGGCTGTGCCACCCCCAGCGGGATCCCGTACAGTGCGATCCCACGGCTTGGTTTTTTCATCCAAGTTTAGCACGCAGATTGTGGGGCGGGCGCTGGCGCTTTGTTGCATACGAGTACGCATTTGCGCGAAGGTATCGGGCAAGCGAGGGAGCTGCCGAAGATGGGATGGGGACGAGGCCAAATTCTCACAGGCCTGGCTGAGGGTTTTTGCCTAACAAATCAGGCGAGAACAAAAAGTTGGTGCCTGAGATGTGAGGACGGGAGAGAGAGGGAGAAGGAAAAAGAAACACGCCGGGGACGAGACGAGACGAGACGCGACGAGGGGGGAGGGTGAGGGTGAGGGCTCGTGGCCAAGCGAGACCGGCCGTGTAGGTGTAGTGTAGTGGTTTCGTATTCTTGGAAGCGGGAGTAGCCCTGGAGCCGACTGGTGAAACGAAGCTCGGGATGCGTCGAGGTTTTGTGTCTGTTTGATGTGTTTTTTTTTTTGCCTGCGCATTGCGTGGCGATATGAATGCTTGCTCGGTAAATTGAGAGGAAGGGGAAGAAGAGGAAGAAGAGGAAGACGGTGGTGGTGGTGATGGAGAGTCCACGTTAACAAGTACATGTATATTCAGTGTCACTTGTTCAATCTGAGCAACCAGCAACTATGGCAATTACAGCTACAACAACAGCAACAGCAGCATGAACAAGCAAATTGGACCATCTTGACTCCCCAAAACTCACCCTCGCCCGCATAGACAAGCAATCAATCAACCCACAAGCCAGTCTCTGCTCATCAAACAAGCCAAGAACCCCCAAAGACTCCCCAATCAGGCGACTCGGGACCCCAATCCAGCCCTCTGATTGGCCCGCCACCCCTGTCGTGCCGCCGCTTCTGCCTCACCTTGAAGCTCCTGAAACGCAGCTCGTTCGAGGACTCGCACGAGGGAAACGACCAAGACTGCTGCTCACGAGCGCTTGCGTAGTTTTGTCTTTTCTTCTCTTGGTGTCGTTTCTTTCTCTTCTCTCTTTTTTTTTTCCCTTTCCTTTCTTTCTGTATGCCTGGTGCATGTACGTGACTTTGAACCCCATATTCTTTTCTTCTTTTCTTTCTTCTTTCGTTTCTTTTCGTTGCAAGGTTATTTTCTTTTCAGACCCTCGCTGTTGGAAATTGTGTAAAACTGCCGGGCAGTTGAGGTCGAAAATAACCAACATCCGTTTTCTCTCTTTTTAATTTTTTTTTTCTTTATACGATTCGATTCGATTCAACCGAGCTTTGGTCTTGGTTTTTGTTTTTTTTTTACTAGTTTTCAATTTTGAAAAGACGAAGAAGAAAGGTCCAGGACGCCGGCCGTCAAACAAAACACCAAAAAACAAACCTCACGAGAAACCCCGACGTCAAAAACATCTCGAACCCCGACGACAAAAACATCCTTCTTCAAATCAAGTGAATTTTTCAAAACACCAACCATGCCCGACAAGGTCTTCGTCGCCACCCTCGTGGCCAACCTGCTCTTCCTCGCCTCGGGCGCCATGGAGCTCGGCTTCTCCATCGCCGCCATGAACCTCAAGGACAAGACGCCCACCGACGGCCAGGACGCCACGCGCCACCTCATCTACCAGCAGTTCCCCCTCACCGCGGGCATCGTCAACGCCGTCTTCGTCCTCGCCACTTTTGTCTTCACCATCCCCGCCCTGGCCCTCGTCAAGCGCAACCTGCTCAAGATCAGCGGCTACATGATCACCGTCTGCGGCGTCTTCACCCTCGCCGTGGGGTTGTACCTCTGGATCATGACGTTGAGGCTCAAGGAGACGTTTGAGCCCATTTACGCGGCACAGGATTCGTCGGTTCAGTCGTTGTTGCAGACTTCGGTATGAATATCCCCCCTTTTCCCCCTACCTTTTCACATTTTATATACACCTACACGTACACACAACTCAAATACACCAAAACATGCAAAACCCCATCACTAACAAACTCACCTTTCAGTTCCAATGCTGCGGCTACCTCAACAGCACATCTCCCGCCTTCGTCACAGACTCCGTCTGTCCCAGCCCAGCCGCGGCCACTCTCCTCCGAGGATGCTCCACCAGCATGTCCAGCTTCGCCAACGCCTTCATCAACGACCTCTTCACCGCCTGCTTCGGCATGGTCGGTACGTCAAACCCCCCCCCCCCCCCCCCTTTTTTTTTCATGCAATTCGAATGACTAACATACATTTCCCCCCCTCCGTATAGGCATCGATGCCCTCCTTGTCCTTGCCATAGCCTGTCTCCTTAAAGAGCGCAAGGAAAAGGAGCGTTACTACATCATCGATCAGAAGCGCGACTACGGCCGTCTGTAAATTATGAAAAACTAAACAAGCAAAAAAAAAAAGACAATGTTTCAAAAATTATATAGTCACGGTTATAAAAAGTCAAAACCCCCTTTATTTGAGGCTCAATATCATGTTTTGTTATGCCCCTAGTTTATAGCGTTGCAAAGTCCTGCTTTTTTCTCTGGTCCAATACTCCAAATACCTTTTAATCAAGATTCCTTTTTTCTTTCTCTTAAGTGGAATGATGGTTGTCATTCGCTCCCATGCAAAAAAAATTTTGTTTTTGATGCCTCAATGCGATAGAAATACATGTTGTGAGTGGTCAAACCCACTGGAATGAAAACAGAGATAAGGGAATAAAACACAACACAGAATGACTCCAGATTCCTCCTACAAGTCGCATGCAAGCATCTAGTGCGGTGCAAACCTGCCATGAACAATAGATTTCCATCTTGGTATAGTGTGATGAAGCAAAGAAACGAAAAGAAAAAAAAGGCCATCACCGGGTCCCCTTCAATCTCCAAGAAAAATCGCAACTTCAAAGACCCCCAGCACGCTGCTGCTCCCGCCAAATCCCCAATGAATAATTAATAGTCTAAATATGCCTCCAAATCGAAATCACAATCACATGCATTGTAATACCTCTCTTCTTCTTTTTTTTCGCTCGCTCTTCCTTCTTTAGCTCATACATTTGAGTCGTTGGCCCTGCCATCCGAACCCGCTTCTGGCTCGTCTCTATAATTTTGATGTGGTGAGTCGTTTTCGTTTCTGTTACCGCCGCTTATCGAGGCACGGCTGCTGTTGCGTCTCAGCCAGTTCAGCGAGAGTATGCCGCCCAGTGTTTCTGAAAATGCAGAGTCCCTGCGAAGATTGCGCCGCGCAACCAACCCGGGGAACCCAGTGCTCTTCCTCCGCCGGCGGGCGAATTTCCGAGGTGAAACATCTGCGCTTGGACCAGCCTGACCTGTAACGCTGACGCCACTCATCGCCCTCCTGACTTGGGGCAACAGTGGCGATGATTCGGTCCTTGTTGGGAACGTGGTTGAGCGCATTGGCGACGTAGGTTCATCCTGGTCTTGCAACTCGCCCCAGATTTCAGCCCGCTCTACCCAACCCAAACTCTTCTTGCGTGTCGGCGTCAGCGGAGTGGTGTCACCGTGCATCACGGGGAAGGTCTGGTAAGTCGTGGAAGGCAGCTCTTCGTCAACCTCAACTGCGGCTTCTGGGCCCATTAGTGATTCTTCTTCGCCTTCAGTATCGTCTACGAGCCCCAGGCCAGGAGCCAACGAGGACTGACCGACTGCTGGGGCGTGCTGTTCGTCGCTCAGCCGCCATGATAGCGCTAGAACTCCCGAGAGCAAGATGACTGTCCCCAAGGTGATGAGACAGGCGTCGCTCGTCGAGATGAGGCTCGTCTGGTTGAAATAAATTAGGCCATCGAGGATGGCAATGATGTTGTATACGCAGAAAACAAGAGGGTATAGGACAGATGTAGAAACCAGCTTCAAGCCGCGATGAAGATAGTACAACTGGCAGAGTGCGAGAGAAACGAGTCCCATGACAATGGCCCAAGATTGCCAGCGAAGGAACTGGTTCTTGCCACCTATCGTCTTGATGAGAAGCTCGACGGCGGATTTCGCAAAGAGCAGCGAGTGTGCTGAAAGGTCTCCGCTGATGACGCCGTAGCTTATGCCACGGATTAGGCGGAATCTGGCATTGTGAGACAGGCTGGAGAGGCTGCTGGTAACATCCGTAACAATCGCAAACGACACGACAAACAGCGCCTGCAGTATCATCCAGACAATAAAGGGCTTTCGGGCTAGCAGCTCCAGCAGCTCATCCAGCTCGTGGGCTGGAGATGGGATAGCACCGAAGATGGCGATTAAAACCGCGCCGCTGCTAACGAGCAGAGTGCCGCAGAGCGACCATCGCGTAAAGGGCTCGCTGAGGATGAGCGTCGCGCATATCGAATTGAACACCAAGCCCGCGGCCTGAAGCGTCGAGAGGACGGGCAGCGGCAGCGTCGAGATCTGGATGCTGCTCCCTAGGATATTCGCAATGACAAACATGGCCATGCCCAACTGCCACCTCCTCCTCCGATACGGCGGGCGACGAACATCGTGCGGCCCCTTTTCGTCCTCCAATATGTGTGATTTTCGCTGCAGGGTGAGGCCTAGACTTTGAACACTAGTCGAGATCAGGCCAACGAGAATTCCTAGCTACCAAGTGTTAGCAAGCGCACCAGCCCAAATGTCTCTCTCCTTTGCGTCGAGTGCGTGCATACAGCTATGCTCCCTCCCGGGGAGATGTTCCCAATAGGCCCCATAACACCGTCTCCAGGCCTGTGGTCATCCACCGGTAGATGTGAATAAGAGCGCGCTTGGTCGTCGCATAGGAAAGGGTGCTGGTAGTTGGGCAGCGCTATAGGTTTGGACGGCCAAGGAACAAGCTGGTGTCAAACGCCGCGAGCTCAAGCTAACTTCCACCCTTGTTTCCCTCCCTACTCGTGGCTCGGATCGTCGATAGAACAGAGGCGGTTTTCTCCAGCTCTGTGCAGCCGCCGCTTCCGTCAGCGAGGGTATAGCGGTACTGATCGGGTTCGAGTCGAGCGCAGTCCGGCACTTGGTCTAGTAGGGAAAGGTAAGGCTTCTATAGACGTGAAGGCTTGTCGTTGTCGGTTGAAGGTGCCGGCCCCCCAAATCACGGTTATGGTCGCAAACGCAGCAAGTAATTCGCCTGGATTGCGAGACTAGATCAGCTGGGGCCCGACGAGGCAGCGTGCAGAGAACTGCGTTGGCGCTCAATAAAACATGCAGAGCCACCTGACGACGTCAAGCGGTATGCGAATGGAGCTGAGCTGCATCGAGGTGCATGTAGGCCTACCAAGAGAGTCTGGGAGCTCATGTGGCTGGAGCCGTCACATGAGGTCAGGTGACACTCGTCATTGCCATTTCCCTGATGTTTCAGCAAGGTCCCTGTATATCCGTACTCGTATTGGTGGCTGGTGAAACAAAGAGAGGAAACATAAGGTACCTGCCTGACCTAAGGTAGCATAGAACCTCATGTAGAGTCATCTGAATGAATTTCAACCACATGCCTCTGTGTACCTTTGTTGCTAGTACATTACATACACAGGTATCGTCTAATTACAATACAATTACCAAAAATACAATAATTTCCCGCCGCACACTCTTCCCGAGAAGCAGCGATATTGCTCCGCGCTCGTACCAAGCGACCCGTTCCAGTAGACAAAGCTGTGGCGGTGCGCAGTCGCGGCCCCAGAAGTAGGTGCGAGCCAGCGCTCTCAGCTTACCTGTACTAGACCTGCTAGTAGTAGCGCAACTCTGGCACTGCTGCTCCACTGCATCCAAGCAAGCATCACAGCTCCGAGATATTACGCTTCATCCCTCACTCAAACCAACCCAAAGCTTCGGCTCCAGACTCTCGCCCAACTCTCCCCGTCACCTCGTCCACAGCGCTCAAGGCACAGGCCAACCGATCCCTCACAGGCCTTGCTGCAGTGATCCCATTCGCAATTCGTCGTCCCTCTTGCTCCCGATATCCCCCCCCCCCCGCCTAGCACCCAAGATGTCGCAACACGCCTTATCCGACGCACAGGCAAGTGCTCTCCAAGCCGCCCGCCATCCCTCTGCTTTGGTATCTGCGCCTTCGAAGTGATGAAATGCTGACCAGGGCCCTCCCCCGGCGACAGGTCGACAATGAGCTCCGCAAGATGACGGCCTTCATCAAGCAGGAAGCCATGGAAAAGGCCCGCGAGATCGAGATCAAGGCCAACGAGGAGTTCGAAATCGAAAAGTCAAAGCTCGTCCGCCAGGAGACCGACTCCATCGATACCCAGTACGAAAAGAAGTTCAAGCAGGCCACCATGTCCCAGCAAATCACCCGGTCGACCGTCGCCAACAAGACACGGCTCAAGGTCCTCGGCGCCCGCCAGGAGCTGCTCGACAACATCTTCGACGAGGCCCGGAACCAGCTGGCCACGGGCGTCAAGGACAAGGCCAAGTACCAGAAGACGCTCAACGGCCTTGTGCTCGAGGGCTTTTACGCCATGAACGAGCCCGAGTTGCAGCTCCGCGCCAAGAAATCCGATTACGATGCCGTCAAGAAGGCCATTGAGGAGGCAGCCAAGGAATACAAGAAGGAGGCTGGCCAGGACGTCTCGGCGACAATTGATGAGTCCAACCCCCTGGACGACGGAATGTACGTTGCAACAAGACCATTGATGACCGTGAAATTTGGGCTCGTTTATTGACTTTTGGAAAACCACAGTGCCGGCGGCGTCATCATCCTAGGCGGAAAGGGAAAGATTGACATTGACAACACCCTAGAGGCCCGGCTGCAGCTGCTGGAGTATGCCGCGGCGCCGGCCGTGCGAGAGAACCTGTTCGGAAAGAACCCCAACCGCAAATACTACGACTAGACTCGCCTCCCCCATAATTTACTTGGCAGCTGTATCTTATTACCTTTACACTGGGAAAAGAGGGAAACGATGGAGAGTGAGATGAAGGGCAGAGTAGAGGGCCGTCACGTCTGAAAAGAAACTGAGGCATGCATTTCGTCGAATTAGTCTGCGCTTTTTTCCTAGTTTAGAAGTTGTATCATAATTCACTACAACAAAGCTTTCTTGAACTCTACATCTCCAGTTAAGCAAGTTCTCACGCTGGTATGCTCCCCCGACGTATTATCCCAAAAAAAAAAAACGCAAAACGCCCTGTTCAAAATCTGCAAACGCATATAGCCACGTCACCATGTACCAAAAGTTTGACAGCTAAGCCAAAGTTCTCGTATCACTTCTCGCCTTGTGGCTTGGGTATCTTTTGGAAAAACTTGGCCATGTACTCCTGCTGCTTCGGCAGGGACGCCAGATCCTCGTGACCGGGAAGGTCGAATATGCTCTTCTTCAGCTTTCTACGCGTGCGGACCGTGTTAGACAAACGTTGCTGAACCCACTCGACGACGCTTTTCGCCTCTGTCCGCGTGATTTTCATGCCCGCGTCGTTGATCTTGCGCCAAATCTCCCTGAGCTTTGCGGCGAGCTCATCGATGTCTTGGTTGAACTGTTCTTCGGCCTCTAGACTGCTCAACTCTGGCGGGCTTCCATCGTCAACGGCGATATCCAGGATGATTACCATGGCTTTGAGTTCCGCGAAATCGGTTCGGGGTGTGATGCTGAAGTCGTCTTTGTCAAGGCGGTCAATAGCATGTCTAACTGTGAAAACATTTTCAGGATGTTGACGGCCAAGGCTAGGGTCGTCAAACAAGAACGAAATGGCCAGTCTCCTCCGGACGTCGTGTGTCCTATTATTGCGGATGGATAGGCATTGCAACGCATTGACTCTGATGTGCTGGGCTTTGATAGTCGCTTGCAAAATTGAGCATGCATCGCCGCACTGAGGAGATTAGTATTCGAAAGTGGTCATGTAGGTAGGCTGAGAATCTATACTTACGAATGAGTCCCATGATGAGCTGGGGATTGCATTAACTAGACTTTGGATCGCGTCTTGGTACGCCGTCAATAGGTCAATGTTGTAAATCAACAGCTTGTCCATGGACATCCGAAGTAGAGCATGTGATGCGTAAATGGCGGACGCAGCCGACAAGTGGCCTGAGACCATGCCCAGAAGCGTAAAAAAAGACTCCAGATTTGACCAGTCACGATCTTGATATGGTTCATTGGTTAGTTTGGAGATTGCGATCTCAGAGTCTCGAAATTTGACGTCATCGCCAGCTCCGAGTCTCAGGAAGAGCTCCTCCAGCCGCTCAGGTGTTAGAAGCCGTTCAACTTGATTGGGGCACTCATGAATAATGTGACAATATTCACGTCGGATAAGAGATGATCTCTCAATGCACAGCTCATCCAGTATCCACTTGAACAGAGAATCCGGCAGTCCACCGCTCTTGGCTAGAATGCTTTGAGGAACACCAGAAGTGAGATTCCGTTCCCTTGCTGCCGAGTTTCCTTGAGTTAGCAAGGTCCATGGCGACGCAAGCTTTGGAACAGGCGAGCTTGGGGGGACTTTGTAGTCTATATCGAAGAAACAATATCGACTTTGAGACTGAATTGGCTCCGCCCGCTGGACCGCTCTGATGACCTTGTGAGCATCTTGCCCGCTCTTTTCTTTGACAATATCAGCAAAGGCAAGGTCAAATGATTCTCCTCTTGTTGGGGATGGAGGTCTTGCGGCGCCTGTAGAGGCCTTTGCCTTTAATGAGCTTGCATTTAGGGCATTGTCCAGACGAGCATCCTTGGCCAGGGCCTTTAGGTCAAATTTGTGCTTCAGTGCACCTTTGGCGGGCGATACGAAAGGCATCGCTGCCGTCCTCTTGGCCCTGGGGGTGTCAAATGATGAAGCCACAGGCTTAGGTCGTCCTCGCCCAAGGAGAGCGGAGAGGTCTTCTAGAGAGTCATCTGAGAAGCCGCCATCGCTAGCATCGTCATCGGAGGCGCCAATTTCCAAAGGTGCCACCCTTCTCGCAACAGGGGTAGCCTTGTAGCTGAGCGGCGAAGATGGAGCAGGCGGCGACGAGCCGTGGATTGATGATAGGCGTGAAGACCGCTGTGACGATGGTGTTTGCTGAGAGGACGGCTGGAAGTATGATAGGATGCTCTTGTTGGGCTTCGGTTTTTCAGACATGGCTGGGCAGTTGCCGCGCCCTGTCGGCGGCGTGTGTTGATCCGTCGTATCTTTGTTTTCCTCCGCTGCGATGCCTGGTTGCTGGCGTTTTCGCTATGAGCTGAGTGAGATGCATTGACGTTGAAGTCTATCGTGAACGCCCAAACAACCAGCGCGTGTGGATGATGCATGGCGCAGTATCCTAGCTTACCTGATCGGCAGATGTGGCGCAGGCGATGGCAGATCTCTACAGGGGACTTTGGTGGGCGCTTGAGCCTCAATGTGTGTTCCATTTATTGGAGTATAAACTACAGACACAACGTTGCAGTCTGGGAGTAGCAGTTACAGATACTTGACTGCATTGAATAAACTCTCAAATGAATTCCTTGTCTCCGACAGCCATAGATTCTGTCCAGCATTTTCCCTCATTTGCTCGTGTTCGGTGATGTACAGAGTCCGGCGATTTACAGAGCGCCCTCCGTGTTGGCAATGGAAGCTGAGCAATGATAGGGTACTCGTCAAGCCATCAACGCAGTACACCACGAACGAGAACGACAAAGGCCCAGCATTACGAGCGTCTACTGGCAATAATGACGATCCAACCAGATTCACGCATCCATGGCCTCCATTTCCCTTCTTTATCCTGTCGCCAAACGATGAGTGCCGGGTAGCATGTCGACGCAGTCAGCCTCAGCTTAGCACAAGGCCTGTCGACCTATTGGTTGGCTCTGGAGGATCGCCATGCCTGTCCGTTAATCTCCCTTTGAGCTCCGTAATGCTACGCTGGCTCCGGCAGGATCTTCCACCGTGCTTCAACCTGAGACGTAGCTTTTAGGGCTGTGCCTCCAACACAAACTCTGGATGGACGAGAGCCCACGTTGAAATGATGACGCGCGATGCTGACGCTCGCATCCCTCATGGGCGTTGTACCCAGGATTGGGGAGCCCTGGTGCCACGCGCCCCCAAAGACGCAGTCTCTGTCTCTCACACACGAGAGGTTGGATGTCTTGGGTTGAGGGCCCGTCCAGCCGCAGCCAGACTTGGGGCGCCAGCACGAGCGCGTACGAGCATGTAGTACATGCGAGATCCCCGCCTCCCCTGCTCTTACAGTTAGTAGTACCTAGTAGTACTCGTACGCTCATGCAGGCACTCCGGACTTTGTGCGGACTCCTCCGTTCTCCGTGAGCTATTGCGAGAGATCTGATATGTATCCCGCCGCCTGGGGTGGAGGCTCATTTCGAAACACGTTCTGCGCCGCAATGCCAAGGAGCTGTTAGGTCGTCTGGACGCACATGCTCGCAGGCCTCAACAAGCTTTTTGCTCGTTTGAACTCGGTAAGGAGTGCGATGGGCGGGCGGTTTAAAAATAGCAAGCAACAGAAAGAAACGACGACAATCCCCTTTCGCAACGAGAGAGCGGTGGCAGCGGCTAGATCTGCTCGTGTCATCCATCCCTGGAACTTGGGCCGGGTCTTATTTCGGCTACGCGCTCTGGCGGAGAAGGCTCTGGAAGGCTTCCAGTAGCCGGCCGCCTCGAGGAACGCGAGATGTTGGCTAGAAGAAATAACACACAGCGGGAGTGGGAAGTTGATCAAAGTCCGTCGCCAATGGCGTTGGGTGTCGTCCAAACCCAAGAGCCATCATGTACTCGTACTAGTTAGTAGCAGTAGCATATTCTTCCTTTGCGGTGGGTTTCATTAGTAATGTCCGTGGTCATAATTCCACCTCCGAAATTGACATCTTCAGCGTTGGCTGCAACCGCCTGTTGTTGTTGTTTATTAGTACGGAGAGGGTCGTAAAGGCAGTCAGGCTTGGCTCTAGAGCTAAGCATTGGGACCCTGATTCTCAAATGTCAAGACCGTACAAGTCTGCCACAAACATACAAGCACGAACAGGAGTGACTTGCATTGCCTGGATCCCCCTGGTCAAGGCAATCCCTTTCCGTGGAACCACCCCTGAACAGACCCTCTTGGCGCAATCGCCAAATTTCCCTTGCGTACAAATCAGGTCGGCACGAAGCGGACAGACAAGGTTCAATCAGGTTTGGAAAAAGGGCGAAAGAAGGGCTCTCGAGCTCGTTTTGTGGAGGCTGGATTTGAAGATGCGCGTGAGCGAGCCAGTGAGAAGCACTGGATGCAGAGCGGCTGCTGCTCATGCTCGTAAAGGGGCCCTGATGGTCAAATATTCAATTGCTGCCAATAGAAGCAGCCGCACAGGCATGCAGCACTCGATGCAGGTCCATATTTTGCGATTTTTATGTGCCAATGCGGCAGCACTTATCCCGGTCTGAGCACTTTATTGAGACTGAGAAGCAGCAGTGCTGAGATGGTGCCTGGACAATCAATCTCCTCACAAGGCGCTTGGCGGATTGGCGGAGTAAGCATTGGTAGAGCAGATACGAGCATCAAGGCGGGCATTAGCTGCTTGGATCGTCAAACAAGTGTCTAGCACAGGCCAACGCTCCAGAGATCAACTGAACTGTCCAGCTTTTTGCGAATTCCTCAGCTGGGCAAGCATGAAGAATACGCGCGATGAGCAACCCGTGCAAGTCCAAGCAGAACTTGCACGGGTACTGCACTCGTAAGCGTCGTCAATTGACGCGCAGGGGATTGCGAGGCGAATCTCACGGCAGTCATCCATGGTATCGTGATAGATTGTAATTTATGAACTGCAGAGCACCCCCACCCGCCATCCCCTGGGAGGAATCCACTGTCTCAGCGATGGACGTGCGCCCCTATTCACGACGAGGGCTGGGTTTGAGTCCGAGTACTCGGACATGCAGTGCTGTACCGATACAACACGGACACTCAAACGAGCAGTTGTGGTGATGAGTTGACCCGCGGCTCTGGCAAGAGAAAGCAAAGCATCCAGCCTCTGCCGAAAACTCTGTCGAGACGCCTCTCGGCAGTGCCAGGCGGAAGAAACCCAAAGAAACCGGGCTTACATACGATACGCCATCTAGACGCTGACACATGGCGGCGCCCTTTGTAAGCAACCACAAACCTCGATGACGGAGCGGGAGCCTCGTATTTGTCGTGATTTTATCCGCTGCGAATCCGGTGCTTCACAGCGTTCCGGCGCAAACCAAACACTGCCTCCCACCTCCTCCGCCCGGCCTTTTACTGTTCTCGTAATTAGGCTATGCGGAGCGCCTCATGACAATTGGGGCTTTCGTCCACTCCGAAGCCGATCAGGAGGCGTCGGCGGCACAGTTTAAAAAAAAAAACTTGTAAAAAACTGCTAAGAGATGATAAGCGTCATCAATGCGCGCTTTGGATTCCCGCGGACTTTTGGGCTAAAGAAAAAAAGGCGTTTGTGCGTGAGCATTGTTGCAGCGGCGGAGGCACAATAGGAACGGGTTGGTGTCGATGACATCCCTTCCCGTGGCTGGTAGTGGCAGGTAGCAGGTACAGGTACCTACAGCACGCTACTAATGCTACGGTGCTACTCGGACAGGATTCGGGCGCCCCAGCCCGCTGGCACTCCGGTGCTTCAGTTATTCGGGCAAGTCGACACCAGGGGCTCAAGTCCGTCAATCGAGTCCGTACAAGTACGGTGCTCCAAGTACCTGGCTGGAGGCGGTACCTGGACTTTTCTCATGTGCCCGGACATAAAGTACCTTTGGACCACTCCGTCCACTCTGGCCTTATTCCGGGGAGGTCCCACGCGGCCATTATTGCGTGCACTGGCATTGACTGACTACGGGAATACATACTGTACAAGGGCCTATTCCAAGGGGCAGGGCGATCCAGCCTCTGGATCGCTGTCTTGGTATCGCCCGTTGTCCGTTGCAGTGCGAATTGCGCTCGCGTCAATCGCTGGTTGACAGATGGCGAGGCCGTGCAGGACACTGACGGAAGACCGGGCTGGGCTGTGCACAGTTGAGGGAAAAGGCCACGGGACACCGGACCTGCTGCATATATTGCGCAACCAAAGCAGCAGCTGGCAAAATACACGATGACGACGTTGCTGCAAGTTGGGATGAGGCCAAGGACCGATTTGGCAGGATTCCACGCAGTTTTGGAATACAGGTACATGGTCGTGGTCTTAGGTACCTTAGTAGAGCCCGCAGGTACAGGCCGCTAGGGAATACCTTGGGGAACGGTGCGGACTCGTCGGCGCTGTGCTGACCAATTTCCTCTCCATGCATTGCACCTCACTTGGCACCTCCAAAAGGCATGGGATTGCATTTGCTCCCGCATTGCAGAAGCACCCATACAAGCGCCGCCTCCCCCGTGTATGCACCCGCTATTCCCGCTGCACCCTTCTCGTCGGGTTTATTTTATTCGATTTTCTTTTATCCAAGCATTATTTTGCATGTAGTACTTCTGTCCTCTTGGAGTGGGGAAATCGTCGCCTCGTCTGTGCCCATCGGATTCGGTCGGTCGGATGGTCCGGGAACTAAAACAGTTCAACTGCCACAGCGCCGTAACCTCCGCTAAATCGCTGCCTCTCTTTTTTTTTTTTTCCTTGTCCCGTCACCCACGCCCAGCCCACGCCACAGGCCCGGCGGTAGTCGATCGGGAATCCTTCATTCTATCGCTCGTATACCCTTCACCCTCTTCTCTCCTACACGCCTCCGCCTCCTTCTCCTCTGCATCTCCAAACCCATCGTCCCCTGTGACGACACGTGCATCGACAACTGCGTCGAGTCCTGGTGCGCTTCAGCCCTTCGTACCTCAGGGATCCCTCTGTCGCCTCCCGTCTGCCGCTCGCTCGCTCGCTATTTCGCATCGAATCGTGCCCTCGACGCCTGGGCCGTGTGTTCCGCCCCCGATTTCCTTCGTCGAGCCTCTACTTTTTACGACTGCATCGAAGCGACTCTTTATCTTTCCGACGCTGATTGCGCCGCTTATTTTACGGCCTCGCTCAATTCCGATCTGGCTGGCCATTTACGGCTGAACGGGCGCTTGCCCGCGATACCGCAGTCACAATGACGACCACGATTCCACCACCGCCGCCGCCGCCTCCTGATGAGAGCACCAATCCCACTTCACCCAAGTCAAAGCTCTCACAGACGCA